TCTCTCTCTTTCTCTCTCTTTCTCTCTCTTTCTTTCTTTCTCTTTCTCTCTCTCTCTCCCCCTCTTTCTCTCTCTCTGTCTTTCTCCTCTTTTTTATGCACTCTATAATGGGTATTTCCATTGGATTTACCAGGTTTGCTTTACCATCATATTTTTGTGACAGCATCCATTGCCATTTTTTGTTGGGAATACCTGCTTGTATACAAGAGTCATCTCTATAAAATTAAAAAAAAAATCTGTACACCATAAAGCCCCCAGTACATAACTTGTTTTTTGAACAAAACCCCTCTCTCCTTGTAGGAGGTACTTCTCTGAATGAAAAGAGTATTGGAGAAGACAAAGCCATCCCTCTAATTGGGACACAGGGAAAAATAATCATAAATTTGAGACAAGTCAGGGCTCAATGAACACGTAGAAAATGGCAATTTTCCTCCAGAAGGATCAAACCTGCAGGTTCTCTTTAAAGTTTGATTGAAAGACATGAAAACTGCAGCTTAAGGGTTTCGGGGCTGACTTGATTTTTCTCCTTGTCCTTTCGCTTGTTGCTTCACAGTTGTGAATGAAAATGAAATTAAACAACTGATGGGCATCATGGTTGTAATTACATTGGAACGTTTGGTGACAATTAGTAGTTATTTTCAGATAAGGGGTACTTAAGCACTCTGCCTGCATTTACTCTGGGGTATAGAGCATAGCACTCATATTTTACATAAAGTTTTGAGTAAATGAATTAAATTCTCTATGCAGGGCATCTGTATCTAAAATTCCCATAATCCTTTAAATTTATCCTGGAAAACATTTAACAGGACCACTAGAGGCTGTGTATGTTGTTGATTACAAGCTGGTTTGCATCCACCATCAGGTCCTGAATTCTGAAAGCCTGCAGGAATTGCCTTACTGCTTCATCGTAAGTTGGTTTGGAGTGGTAGGGTGGTGGTTGTTGAGTTTTTGGGGTTTTGGGGGGGTTTTTTGGTTTTGAATGTGTTGCCTTGCTCGTATACCAAAAGCTTTCTAAATGTGTTCAGTAGTCTTAAATACTGTCCCGCAGCTCTGCACAGCCTTCCTTCTCATGCTCCGGAATTGAAGAAATATGGAAAACTGGGGGTGAGGCTGTAACTGGCAAAAAGCACAGTTTCGTGAGGATCTGGCTTTGAGTTTTAGAATTAAGAAATGAATAGTGTTATATATTGAAGAATCTTTTTAAAAAAAAAATCCCCATTTCCTTGGTTTAAAGTGAAGGAGGAATCGTGCTCCTTCACTGCCGTTTCCCATCACTTGTCAGCGGGGTGTCACCCAGCTGGGGTCACCCTGTTGTCAGGGGGTAACTCTGTCTCTCTGCTGTCTCCTTTCTTATGCACACATGCATGTTTGAATAGCTGCACAGTGAAACGTGTCAGGGGAGCTGATGTGGCTGAGAACTGCCTCAGACAAAAGAAAATGCCATATGGGGAGGTGTGTTTCACTGGAATCCCATCTGATACATAAATTACTAATTTTCTGCTGTCCTGGCTTCCTCAACTTGGCTCGTTTTGAGGGAGACGAGTGCCTCTTTTGGGCAGTGGAGGCAATAAAAGACTGGGGCTGTACAGTGGGAATGGGTGTTAAAAAATCCATTCAGTGCAAGTAGCTGCAGTGGAGCTGCAGGTTGAGCTCTGGTGGGTCCGTAGCCCGAGGCAAGAGGCCATGAACTGCTGACTCTGTGCACAAAAAAGGGCCTGGGGACCTGTGGCACTGGCCACAGGACCAGACACTCAGAGACACAGCAGGAGCTGAAAACCCCCAGACTTTTCCAATGCTTAGACTGTGAGGGGATAAAAGCCCAGGGGTTCCTTTGTTCCGGGTCCCTCCTTGGAGGAACCAGCTTGAGCTGTTATTTTGTTATTTAGCTATTGCATCACTATTAAATTATCTTAAGGATATGGACATCTGAGACTCTGCTCTGGGAAACCTGGGGTGGAGCTGGTGAGGAAACCTGGTCTGACTGTGTGAGTGTGGGGGGAGCAGCTGCAAAGGGGCTTCAGTTCCAGCTCAGGTGGTGTGAGAGTGACTGCCAGAGCAGCTCCTGGATGGTCAGACAGGGATGTTTCCTTAACAGTGGGGTTGATAGAGAGCCATTAAAGACATTTAATATCAGACATTTCATCTCCTGTTACTGCTCTGCTGTCTTTGCTTGTACTTTTCATCCTTCTTGCCATCCCCAAATGTAGACTTCCTCTGAAAGTAACTTAGTGTAATTTGTGATCGAAGTCAGCACATGATTTGAGGGTAAATTTCATCTAGAATATGAAGTGTAAAATACCTGCTGTATATACACATTGTCCTCTGGCTGTCTCTATGCTTACTTTGACCTTGAGCTGAGAAAATAAATCCACCTGTGTATTGTGCAGTGTATCTGAAGGGCAACCTCCTGCCCTGGATGTCATTGCTGCCCTGGATGTGCCCGTTGCTGGTGGGGATTAGTGTCAGCACAAACTTTTTGGTTGATGAAATATAAGGAGAAAGTGAGTGTAGCCCATTTTCTCACAGTTTTATAAGCTTTGCAATGTGGCTAGCAATAAAAACTTAATTTTCTTGGCAGATTCAGTGGCTATAAATTGGGCCAGCAGATGGGAGCTGTCTAATAGGTACTGTGCCAAAGTACCAATTTTTGCAAAGTTACTTCTTAAAGGAAAAGCCAGAAACAAACCAGGAATAGCTACAAAGAAAATGCTGACAAGCTGGGCTTTGGGCAATATGAACCTTTTGTTCTCAAATACTCTAATACCCAAATACTGGTGTCTTGTCTAGGATATGCCCTTGGGCTTCCCCAATACCTGTTCATGTATGTTTATGGGTAGGAAGGATTAATTCCTGAAAAACATCACTTTCAGTAGCAATCAAAAACCTTTGAGAATTTGTATTGGATTTCTCTTCAAGCAGAAAACAGTGTTATGCTACAGTGTAAGTCTATAAAAGCAGTGGTCCTTCCTTGAATATAGTCGAATTCTAGTTTGAATACTTAAGTGTGGTTTCAAAATACTGATGGAAAGCAGAGCAGGCTGGGCCCTCATGGAGGATCAGACAGCCTTGTGATAGGTCTTATTCTGTTTAAATCTCACTGTGGTCTCACCTGTGGATGGTGCAGCTCCTGAGACACTTCTCAGGTCACCCAGTGTGCGTTTCATCTCCAGCTCAGGCTGGTGGAGCATCTGCCTCCTTCCTCCTCTGCCTATGCCACAAAATGCTGAGCTCAGGCACTCCCTATCCTCTTTCCGAGTTTTATTCCAAGTTTTTTACTGTTTGGGGTTTTTTTGTTGTTGTTGTTTGTATGTATGTTTCTTGGTTTTTGTTTTGTTTTCCTTTTAAATCCCATCTGGAAAATCCCCCCCCCCGCCCAAAAAGCAGTATTTTTTCACCTGTGACATGTGATGCTCAGGAGGGTAGGCAGCTTTGGTTATCAAAGCCCAGCCTGCTTCCAGCAGCACACTGCTCTCCTCAGCATGTAACAAAAGTCCAGAATAACCCATTACAGTACAGTTATTGCCATGGGCTGAAGTAATAGTTATTAATACTGAGTTGTACAACTTTCTTCATAAAGAAAGACAGTGTTCTTGTGAATAAACAGCATGGCCTCAGGCTGCCTGCTTTCTTCTCTTTTAAAGCTGATTTTTACTAAACTTGAGTATCAAACCCGTAATTTAAAAATTAAGTAAGAGACATATCATGATGGCTTTTTGTCAGTTAAACTGTTTTGTGGTCTGTGTGAGGAAAATGACAGCAGTGTAAAGGTTATATGCACACCGGTACCCCCAAAATACCAGGCAGTGGAAAGATTTTGGTGAATTTATTTCCAAAAGTTGAGAACACTTAATATCCTTGTACAAGAGCTGCACTGGACCTAAGAAAGACACGCCTTCTGTTCTTAGGGCTTTTATCATCCTCAGCCCCCCTGCTTTGGGTGTCTTCAAACATGCCTGCAAGAACTTACCTTCTCTTGTGTCAGCCCCTCTGGAATTCAGGAGGAGAAAACATCTAAAACTATCTCTGGGAAAGATACCTTTTTCCAGGCAGGAAACCTGTCTTAAGTGAAAAGAACTCATCTCCTTGTAAAAGCTCTTCTGGAAGGTTTTTCTGTATTTACAAGCAGTAAAATGGAAAAAGAGCAATCCAGGCATCAAAGCAATAGTTACTGTTTGTCTGGGTCAAGGGCTGCATTTTGATGACTTTGGAATTATCATTGGAGAGCTGGGCAGCTCTCACAAGCACTTCTCTCTCCTTTGTGGTGTTTAACAAATGAAACCAAAACCATGGCCCATACATATCTTTTGATTAAATTACAGTCATCCTTAAAGCTAATCAAAACGCATATAACAGGGGTTTTCAGTCTACTTAAAGCCCAACAGCTCACACAGGCTGTGAGGTGCTGAAGGTTTTCAGCATCTTAGCTCGAGCTGTCTCTGAAATCTTGGAGCTGACATATGTAAAGTTAGTGCTAATGGCAGTTTCTAAGTTTGACCCAAGCTTAGCATTTGCTTGCTCATACCTGAAAGGAATATAACTGCAAAGCCTTAACTTGTGTTAGACCTTCAGGCAGGCCTTGAAGGAGAGGTACCCTTGGGGAATGTAAAATGTATTCCTTTTAGGGCTGGCTATCCTTTGTTCAGTGGCCTTTTCAGCTGAATTGTGCAGTGGGAGAAGTAGG